CAAAAAAAAAAAAAGAACTTAAGAAGATACTCGTAATATTTATACACTCGTAAAACTTTTGTATGAGACCGCTACTAAAAAAAATATTACCATATACCAATGGTAAAATATTCCAGTGAATATGTAATGACTATTGTACGGGTATAGCATCTGGTGGAAAATTCCAATGGATAATTCAACGAGATCAACACTAATATATATATATTTAAATGAAATTATATTTTCCTTGGAATTGTAATTGGAATTGATTATTCTAACGACTATTTTTTTAACGGTTTATTATTATTATTATTATTATTATTATTATTATTATTATTATTATTATTATTATTATAATTGTGATACCCAATTTTCATTGGATTTTTGTTCCACACATGTTTCCACTGTTGAAAAATTTATAGTTATAATTGTCAAAATCCAATTGAAAAGTTTCAACACAAATTACATCATTTGAATAATTATTGGAATCTCCATTGAAATTTTTTTCTGTTGGAATTTCATAATCTTCTTGTAGTGAGCCTAATGGTTAGACGGATCAATCCGCTATACTATGTAATACTAAAATACATGTAATATTAAATGTTTTCTATTTATGATGTTTTTTAAAGTATGACATTGTTGAAAATTCGCATATTTGTTTAAACAAAATATATCGGTCCAATTATTAGGTTGGCCTAACATGAGAGCTATCGTTTATAAAAGATGGTCAATAGGGTGTTCTTGGGATATATATATATATATATATACACACGACCAGAACATGATTGGTACGAGAATAATGATATTTATAGCGTGCTAATTATTGTAATGTAATATTAATAAATTAAAATAATAATTGATAGTTATAAACAGTTATATTGAAATTCATATAAAAGTGCAAAAAAACGAAGTGATTTCTAACTTAAAAGCCGCAGATTTTCAACTCAAACTAGCCCGACGGGTTGACACAGGACCCATAGTCGGGACCGGTTCGGGTTGGTGATTGGGACTCGGTTGAAACCCCGTCAAACTCGACCTTGGACTAGTTGATTCGGACATTGACCCGACCAGTCAACCCAATTTGACTCTCAGTATATATATATACACACACACACATTGTTTTTAAATATATTATTATTTAAAAAATAAAGAATATGTATAAATAGTTATTATAAGATACAATATTATTAATACTTTGATGTACAAAATCTATATATACAAACCATTTATTTCTATTGTTTTTATGTATGTTTATATGATAAAAGTACTATACAAAATATTTAAATTTAAAAAATAATTATTCAGTTTGGTAATTGACTCGATGACCCGTTTGATGGTAGAATCAGTGATTTGTAGGCTTGTCCGGGTCAATTGGGTATAAAAACTATGTTAAAAACTGTATTTGAAAAAAAAAAAAAATAAGAAGAAAATATGGGAGAAAATTTTAGATTAGGTGAAAAAATGATTTTCTTCAATATCCAAACGGGAACTGTTTTAGCTGACCTAATTTCTCAAACATAATAAGATAGCTAACCAATATAATTCTAACATATGTAATCTCTCAAACCTAATCAAAACTACTCAACCATACCAAATTTTAAGTTCTAATTAACACACCAAATTTAGGCATTATTTAGGTATTATTATGTATTGCTTAAACAATAATTCAAATGAGTAATTTGTAAACTATTTATTCGGTGTAGCAAAAGCCATTAAAAGTTGTGGATTACAAATTAAATTAATTACCATATTTTATTACAAACAAAATTTTCCAGAAAATATAATTTAAATGGTCCGTTTTTGGCATTTTTTTTATTTATAACTAAAAAAAGTCTAAAACTGCCACTTTACCTTCCTCACAGTCTCTCTATGTAAATTCCGATGAGAATAAAGTAACAAAGTTCAGTGCAAGTCATTTCACTACTTCAAATTTGAAATAAAAGCTCCCTCAACTACCACAATGCCGCCGGAGATCCCGCCGGTGCAACCACCATATAGCCAGGGTTAAGCCCCAAACGCTCACACCTTTTCAGCTACTAACAATGTCCGGCTTCAACTCCGCCAAGCAGGCCAAGGCGCGGGATCTGAAGCACCGCGTCCTCACCTGCCTCCACAAGCTCTCCGACCGGGACACCCACTCCGCCGCCGCATCGGAGCTCGAATCGATCGCCCGTACCCTCCCCTCCGATGCCCTCCCCCCGTTCATCTCATCCATCTCCGCAACCGACTCCTCCGACAGATCGCCCGTCCGCCGCCACTGCGTCAGGCTCATCTCCGTCCTCTCCGAGCACCACC